GGCATAAGAAATTATGATATTACAGGAGTGAATTGGTGAGAGGTCTCTACTGTAAACGCTAGCTGTAAATTGTATTTGCGCTATAAATTACCTCTCTCATTCTTATTTTCCAGATCTCGCCATCATCATGTGGAGTTGAGCTGACATTATTGGTGGAGTTAGTAATTCCTACACGAAGGAAAATAGCGAAAACTTTATCATTGAAAGAGAAACGCGTGAATATTTGAATAAGCACACGGCAAACAAAACGCTAAAAAAACAGAGACCGCCTACCTGAAACCGGACATTGGAACTTTGGAAGAGAAAGAATCGCAAAAGTGGGAGCCATGAACGCAAACGTTCCACCTTGCAATATAGGCAATCTGAACATGAAACAAATGTAAAATATAAGACGAGAGTGCCGAAACGTTCATAAATACAAAGATACAAGGTGATATTCTGTCACATATTTATCCACTGGTAAAAAGTCGCATAGATTGTCTTTTAAGTTACAAAAAAATGACAGAATATACTGAACAAAAACAGACTCAATAAATCACATCCCAGCTTTCTTCTCATCTTTAATACGTTTGCGCTTGCAGTACTTGGATTTGGACGAGTTTAGAAGTCTAGAAACCTGGGGCCAGCAGAGATCAAGGTCGACATCAGGGTCAAAGAGGGTAACAAACAAGCCATCTGTTTCGTTTGTCTCGTCCTCGCCATTTCCTCTCTTCTTGTTCTAGTTGTTCTCCGCCCTTGTAGTCTACGGTTTCGTATAGTTTACAACATGAGCGGCCTCAAGGCCGTGTAAATGTTGTAAACGACTTATAAAAGAAACGTAAACGAAAAATGACAATTAAGGTAACTGCTGAGTTATGTCGCTATTAAGCATGCGCCATGTACTTCAACACAGAACATTTTGAATAATTATCAATCCCACATGGAAAGCAAGCCATCTATTGCATAAGCGAGTCTGTTATCCGTCTTTGATTGCTTCAAAACCTAGTGAAGGTCTGTGATGCGATACTAAAACTGAGACCTTTGCTAGTGTTGGGTTGTCTCAAGGTGACGACCGTGTTGTAAATCTTACAGTGTTGTATCAGATTTACAAGGTCAATCACCTGATTAAATGGACAGCCCTTATTGGAGTAATAGCTCATGCATTATTAATAAGTTATATAATCCTTTTTACAAGGATTGCCGGCGTTACCTGACTCCAAATGTAGTCTGCAGGAGAGTTACAATTCCTGAGCAGAATAATACAGTGTTTAGGACTTCTGCTATAACCAACGGCTTGTCAGCAAAACACATCGGTCCGCTAAGGATCATGGGGATTGATATGGTCCCTCCTATCATCATCAAATAATGCTGTAAAAAAGAAATACATTACGCTGAACAAAAATATATAACATTCACGACACTAAAGTTCTTGAAAAGTAATCATGAAGTCAA